TGCCACGCAAAGGTGCAGCGCTGGGCAGGAATAACAGAGGACACAGGCCCTGGTGCAGTTTGCAGGCTGTGGGGACACATGGCAGAGGTGGCCGTGCGGGATCTTGGCTGCCAGCTGGCAGTCCTGCTGGGTGAGCGTTGTTGACATGACGTCACTGTGACCCGTACTTGCGTGCCGTGTGCACTCCCGTGGTCAGCTGGCCTGTCCCGCCTGCTCGCCTTTGAGCTGCTGATTCTGTGGCCTCGTCTGTAACAAGCTCTTGTGCTCTCGACACATGGCGCTGCGACCGTGTGTTTCGACCCACGCCCGGGCCCTTTTCTGCCCTCTCATGTGCAAGGCAAAGCAACATCGTAAATCAACCCTACCTCCACCCCTCCCTTCTCACATCCACTGTCGCAAAGGGGACGATGTCAGAGTATCACCATGTGGCTGGCCTGACCTAGTGGTGAAGCGATTCGCCTCTGACCCCGTGCTGGCGGTTTTGCTGCTGCAGGATGCAGCGGACCCTGGCTTCCCCTCCTTCCCTGTCCTGAGGGTCGACCAGCACCTTCGTGTCTTCGGCAAGCTGCTTCCCGACATCTTCATCAACCAGGTGCACCCCACCGCTGCAGCTGGATGGGCGGGCTCCCTGCGCACAGCCGCGGTATGTGGCATCAGCCCTGCAAAGTGCCCGTGCGTGACACCAGCGTGCGTCGCAAATGACCGTCGTCATGTGACGCGTACGCCGCCCGCGCAACCCACCGTATTCATCTACGATCGGCCCATCACTCGCAACTGGACCGCCCCCACGCAGCAGGGGGGCGACCCGTTCCTGGCGGCGCTGTACCGTGGCGTTGCAGGCGCCCTGGGGGAGGCACCTGAGATCCGTGTCGTCAACCTGCGCGGCGGACCCCAGCTCGACGGGCGTCCCTACAACCCCCCGCGCTACAGGCGCCGCTCGCCCCCGCAGCAGGCCGTGCTGCGCGAGCTGCGAGCTGCACGGCTGCGGCTGCTGGAGGACGTGCCAGAGGGGCCGGATCGGGGTGTGCTGAGTGTCGACGTGCTGGTGCCATCGTTTCGCGTCGACGTGTCACTCATCGAGGTCATGGCAAAGAGGATCACGTGAGCTCGTTTTGGGGCGAGGAGTGTAGCGCCTTGGCTTGCAAAGATGGCAGGGTGATTAGCAAGGCAACACAAAGGTCAAGCAATCGGTTCGCATGGGCACCATGCATGGCGTCAGCTTTTTGATGCGTTCATACACGCAACCGCAGGGCTTACATCCAGCAGCTATGCGATTCGGACACGTCACAGAGTTGCGCAGCCGAGAGCGAGCGGAGCTGCTGCTGTCGTCGCCACTCCCTACTATCTGTGATCCCAACACACACACACACACACACACACACGCGCGCGCGCGCGCGCGTGCGCGCGCGCACGCATCTTACCAAGGAGCCTCAATGAGTCTGATCCCAGTGTGGACTGCGGGCTGGTGCTCATCATAGACAGCCCTACCCTTGAAACCTCAACGGAGGCCTTTCTGGCCGGCCTTCAGCAGCGAATGCTGCGGCGCCTGCGACTGCGGCGCAACGCAACAAACCTGGGTGCCTCGGCCTCGCGCAACCGCGCGCTGTCGGAGTCCCTGGCTGACTATGCGGTAAGCCCATGTGCAAGACGAGCCCTGGGGTCGATTACTTGCGTGTCGTCTCAATGTTCTTCGACATGATGAGGGTGTGCATACAGCACAGCCGGCCGGTGCCTACGGTGTGCTGTGTGCCCTCTGCGCGGTGTGCTGTGGAGCAGCGCTGCTGTGTGATTGATTAACGCAACAAGCTCTGGATTGCCTCCACAGCTCATGGCGTGGAGGGCACACAGGGGCTAGCCCCTCCAGATGATGCTTCACAATGTGTCTTACTGCTGGTATGAACGTCGCTCATTGCAGGTGTTCTGGGATGATGACGTGCTGCCATCACCAGCTTGCCTGCAGGCGTACGTAGATGGCTTCCTGGAGCACCCGCAGGTCAGCAAAAGCCTGGTATTGACCAATGGGTGGGGTGGAAGCTTCGCAGCCAGGCCACGCATGTCACCCCAAAATGATAGCAACGGCGTGCGCGTACTCTGTCATGCTGGCAATCTAGCTACAGCACTTTCAACCCTGACACCTGCTCGAGCCTGAAGGCATGCATACAAGACACCACAGCATCATGGCGGGTCCCCCCCCAATTTGCTTGCTTTACCTACTGCAACATTGCCCTTAGGCTCTGGCCTTTGCAGGACCCAGCTACCTGCTGCACAACCCGCGGGCCATGTGGCCGTGTGCAGTCCACATGTCAGATGTCAGCTTCTTTTGGGAGGCGCCTGTGCGATGGGGCGCCAGCTCAGGCCTGGTGCGCCAAAGGCCGTGGTACCTCAGTCAACCTTCTTTGTGATGGCGCCTGCGCCTGCGTGCTGGCTGTGCACTGCCAGCAGTCCAGTGCTTTGTTGCAGGCCGAGTGCAGGGCTCTGCGCCTACTCTCCCGCACCCGTTTCACGGCTGCACCCATAACCATGCACGCTGACTGCTGCGGTGCAGGTGCCCTGGGCAGTGACAGCCAACATGGCCATTCGCCACGTTGGCGGTGTCGAGTTTGACCTTCGCTTTCCCAAGACCGGGGGCGGCGAAGACATTGACTTCTGCCTGCGAGTGGCTGGACGCCGGCGTATGGTTGCAATACCAGAGGTGCGCTACGTACTCGCACAGGGGCCTCCTGGCGCCACACGTTGCTTGGTTGGATCACACCCACAGATGCCACACTTACGACAGCCGGGCCGTTGCTGCAGTTGCCACAGCTAGATTGCTGCATGGTTCTGCCCCACTGTCACATCAGCTACAACAGGAAATAATGGCTTGCAGAGCCCTAAACTCACACCTGGCGCCTGGTGCCTGGCGCCTGGCCCGTGCAACTGTGTGCATGCAGGCCTCCGTGACACACCCTTGGTGGGGCGGCGGCCGGCGCTGCTACTCGCGCTTCTACCGCTGGGCCCGCGGGGACGGAGAGCTCGTGGACGTCTGGGCTGCTGGGCTGAGTGAGGGCAGCACCGCATATAGCCATGAGGGCGAGAGCGGTGGCAGTGCTGCCGTCACTGACAGGACAGCAGGGGCGACCGCGGCGCTGGGGAGCGGGCAGGCCGGGCCCGTACCCTTGGTCTACAGCTCGCTGCCCAACGCCGCGGAGCTGCTGGCCCTCGCTGGGTACGCAGCGGCTTTGTTGCTGACGGCCGTTGCCATGGTGCTGGCGGCGCTGCTGGCGGCTGCCGCTGCTGGCGCCGCTGGCTGCGCCGGCACGGCTGCTGCGCTCGCACAGCTCGCCTGGGTGGCGCTGGGGCGGCTCGTGCCCGCGCTGCTCGCGCTCTGGCGGGCCACGGGGGCGGTGGCGGCGACAGACCTGCTGTTGGATTGCCTCAGGAACCTGGCTCAGCCCAGCCGCCGCGCTCGCTGCCCCTGTGCATGGTGGCTGCGGCCGGCGGCGGCCTGCGAGGCGTGGGCCATCAAGGTCGCCTCAGAGGCTGGCCGCCTGGCTGGGCACCTCGGCCGGCGCGGCCGGCTGGTGGGCGGGTGGCTGCTTGTGGGCCGGCGGTTTGACTGGTTTTGCGGGATGGACCCTGGGGTGGTGCGGGCGGAGCGTTGGCGGGCGGCGCTGCGATTTGCGTGCTTTGTGGCTGCCACTGCAGTTGCAGTTGGTGGGGTGGCATCGTGATGAACGGCGTGGTTGCTTGCGGATGGCGCTCGGCGGTCTGCAGCAGTGAGGTAGATTGTTGTGGAGCATGGAGTTGCCTATTGTAACATCAACAAACCCAGTTGTCAAAGATCCAACTATGCCACGTGCAAACACATGGAAAGCAGAGAGGTTGACCGGGCTGTTGTGCGCGCACTCTGGTCCTGCAACCACGAAACCAGTGCACAGCGCAGCCATCCATCGATTCGAGCCTGCAGCCATTTGCAGGGCCCTCTTGCTGGGGCCCCCGTACCTGAGAGCACCCCGCCTGGGCAGCAAGCAAGCCCGGCACTCGATACCGTGTCACTGCACAGTCCCTGGCCGTACCATAACTTGATTGACCCCAGCCACCAATGGTGGTGGCATACGATTCCGCCATATCGCTGTGCACTGTCACCGCGTTTATGCATAGAGCGAGGCTGCTCGCATGACAGTTTGGCGAGCACCCTCTCGCAAGATCGTGCTGAATGGCAGCGTAGGCCGTTGATTCAAGGCTAGGTTGCAAAAATTATGGAGGCCGAACTGGAGGTGCTGCTTTCAAGCAGCTCCACTGGCTGGGGGACGCAGGCCTCGAAGGATTTCATTGCTGGTACGCGTTTGCCCCGCAGGTCTGAGAGGCTTGTATGTGGTAGTACAGCTGATTACATAGCAAGATCAATCCCTCACTGCTGGAGGCCGACCACCCGCTACGCCACCTCGTGCTGATCGAGCACGCGCCGCCTCGGTCTGGCACACCAGCGCAACTGATCCCCGGTGCATCCCCACGGCCCCCCCCCACCACGCCCCCTGCATGTCCCCTGCCATGCTCCTGCCGCGGCCACTCTTAGGCGCCGCGGGGGGCATGGCGGGTGTGATTGCGGGCCAGCCCCTTGACACCCTTCGAATCCGTTTGCAGCAGCGAGAGTGCAAGTCGAGGTCAATCATGGGCGTTTGGCGCGCCATGGCGGGCGCCGAGGGCGCAAGGGGCCTGTTCAAGGGAATGTCTTACCCACTGTACACCACTTCGCTGGTGAGCACCTGGCAGAAGGGCTTCTCCTGACGAGCTCATAGGGTTGCTTTGCAATATTTGCAGCCACACCATTGTTGCGCAGGTTGGGAAGTGATGTTCTTCCCCTCCGCCCCCATCGTCCACCTTTGTGCGCCCCGCAGCAAAACGCGGTCACATTTCAGTCGCAGCGTGCGGGCGAGCGGGCCCTGGAGGCAGCGGGCGTGCCCAGCAGCATGGCCACCACGTGCATGGCCGGAATGTTTGCCGGTGAGAGAGCCACGTGCGATCAGTGCCATGGCCGCCGCCGCACTTGGGGCCGCAAGCTTTCCTAGGCCAAGCTCTGTGGCAGCGCTGCAATGGAAGTCAATCCATCACCATGATCACAAGCGCAAAGGCCACCGCCTGGGCCCCGCGTGCCCACCACCTGTCAGCGGTGCCCTGCTCAAAAAAATCGCCCCGCCTTGCGCCCTGGCCCCAACAAAAGGCGCCGTCCAGACGTTCATCAGCTCGCCAGTGGAGCTGCTCAAGATCCGGCTGCAGCTGCAGCGCGCCAAGCCGGGCGCCCCCGGCTACGTGGGGCCGCTGGGGATGCTGCGGCGCGTGCTCAAGTATGAGGGCGTCGCAGGTACTGCGGGTGCCCCAGGAGCGGTGGAGGGGCTGATGCGGGGGCGCGAGTGGCAGGACAGGGGACCTGCAGCACGGCGTGCAGAGGATGGGGCTGAGGAGAGTCAGGGACGGCTGCATGGGTGTGGGTTATCAAGAGCCCGCTGTGCACCTGCATGCCCAGTCAGCAGCGGCCGCTGATTCAGCGCACCGCAAGGTCGCGCCCACTAGGCTGGTCGGGACAGACACGCGCGCGCCTTGCTCCGCACTCCGCAACTACCGATGTCGCACCCTTGCCGCCTTCCCCCAGGCCTCTTCCGCGGCTGCGGCATCACCATGTTGCGCGACACGCCCAGCTACGGCCTCTACTTTGTGGCTTACAGCGTCGCAGTCGACACCCTGGGCGCCCTCCATCGCAAAATCCTGCCCCGCCCGGCTGCAGCAGTTGTCGCCGCCGCCGACGCGCCTCTGGCAGAAGAAGGCGGCGGCGGCGGCGGCAGCGACTGCGGAAGCGGCAGCGGCAGCAGCGGCGGTGCAGGGGTGGGCGAAGGTCTCAACGCTGCTGCTGGGAGTGGTGCAGCCAGTCCTGCGGTGCAGTTTGTAGCGGGCGGGCTGGCTGGGATGCTGGCTTGGTTTTCTGTCTACCCGTTGGATGTTGGTGAGCGGCAGAGCCCTCCTTGCGTTGCTGGCATTTGCAAACAACGTCTTGTGCCCATTTTTAGGGGACGTGCGTGCACATGCCGTGCATTTTCGCGTCGGCGCGCATGTGTGAACATGCACAATCAGCGTGTACCTGAGAGCGCTCGAGGGCCATGGCTCTACCAGCTGTTAACCCACATGCTGCCTCGCCTCCTCCATGCTTTGGCTCCGCCCACAGTCAAGTCACGGGTCCAAGCCAAGCCAACGCGAGGGTCGCACTACAGCAGCGCGTGGCAGTGCGCCGTGCAGAGCATGCGTGAGGAGGGGCCGGGCGTCTTCACCAGAGGCATGGGCGCGACCCTCAGCCGCGCGTTCATCGTGAATGCGGCCATTTTCGCCGTCTTCGAGGCAGCTGGGACCGCGATGAACGAGCTTCCAGGCACTACAGCGGGGGGTTAGGCGGAGCGCCCACCATCGGGGGTGCTCAACAGGGATTTTGGCCACGCAGCTTAAAATTGACTGGCGTGTTGACCGCTTGCTTTTTCTTTGAAACGTGACGGCGTCTTGCTTCGCCGCTGCAAATGTGGCGGTTCGTGGTGGCGACGGGCGCGACCCGCAGTGTGCCATGTGACTAGTATGGACTGCCAATGCGGGCGCGTCCAATTTGCACACCGCCCTCGTTTGACCTGCGCTGGCGCTGCGATGACGTGCTGGCTGCAACGAGCTTGGGCGGGGATATGCGATGTCGCCGTGTCCATTTGCCACTAACGACATGCCCTAGGCGCTTATCTGCTCGTGCTGAGCTCATTTACGCATCGGCGGCACCAAGGACCGAGCCCATGTGCTCAGCACACCAGCAGGGGTGCTAGTGCACCCCTGGCTGACCACGCGGCATGTTCTTGCTGAAGGGAAGTCCTCCAAAGGCTGACACGCACGGTAAATTGTACAATAGAAAGTTCTTTATCCTGCTGATTGGCGTGCTTGCGTTGGTGCCACGGTGCTGCCTGGCTCGGTCTGCGAGCACGAGACGAGAGGGCGTGTGGAACAACAGGGACTTACATATTAAATTATTATCACTTGCTCAAGGTGAGTGCTTTGGGGCTTTGATCGAGGCCGATCTCTGGGTGGTGTGCCACCGCTGCCCCAAGGGGCAAGCTTGGGGTTCTCAATTCGCATACAATCTGATGTGGAATCATGATGCCCTGCCAGGCATGCTGGGTGTAGCCGTGGTCGTGCCAGGGCCGGGGCGGTGCACTGCTCCACCGCTGGCAGCGGCAGCTGCTGCTGCTGTGCCGCTGCTGCTGCTGCTTTGGTGCGATTGACCTGTGGCACTGCTCGCATCCCTGCCGCCAGGACCCTGACAGTGCAGCCGCACAGGTGCAAAGGAGTTGTTGCTGCGGACCAGGCAGGCAACAGTGGAGTCAAAGGGAAGCTGATCGTGGCGGGAATTGAAGGCCAGCGGCAGCGCGGCCCCGCAC